AATAATTCTATAAATATCTTGGGTTTTACATTCTCCCCTCCTTAAAAGAAATTTTGTCCTCGAAATTTGACATACTTGGAGTCTCAAAAAGTTGTAGATACTTTTGTCTTATTTCATCCTTGAGTTCCCAAGTAGCTTATCTTTCCGAGTGATTGCTCCATTGAACCTTAACGTAATGGATGACTCGATGCCTCAAAACCTGCTCCTTCTTATCAACAACTCTTACAGGGTGTTCCCCATAGGTGAAATCCTTCTTAAACTGCAACGGTGCATGATCAATCACATGATTGGGATTCGGTATATACTTTCTTAACATCGAAACATGGAAGACATTATGAACTCCAACTAGTGAAGGTGGTAGGGCAAGTCTGTAAGCTACCTCTCCAATTCGATCTAAAACCTCAAATGGTCTATAACAAATCTAGGACTCAATTTACCACGAACACCAAACCTCATTACTCTTTTCATAGGAGACACCTTAAGGAACACATGGTCTCCAACCCCAAACACCAAATCGCGTCTCCTATTATCTGCATAACTTTTCTGTCTACTCTATGTAGTGCGAAGTTGCTCTTTAATAAGGTTGATCTTGTCCACTGTTTGTTGCACAATCTCAGACCCTAACAGCTTCCTTTCGCCTACATCATCCCAACAAATAGGTGATCTACATTTCCGTCCATATAAAGCCTCATATGGTGCCATCTGAATGCTTGCATGATAACTGTTATTATAAGAGAATTCCACTAAGGCCAAATGCCCATCCAAAGAACCTCCAAGATCAATAACACAAGCCCTCAACATGTCTTCAAGAGTCTGAATAGGTCTCTCTGACTGTCTATCAGTTTGAGGATGAAAGGCCGTGCTAAAATTCAAACTAGTACCCAAAGTTGTATGCAAACTCCTCCAAAACATAGATACAAATTTGCTATCTCTATTAGACACTATGGTCACCGGAATACCATGCAACTTCACAATCTCCTTAATATACAATTTTGCAAACCTCTCTAAGGAGAACCCTACCTTAAAAGCTAGAAAGTGAGCGGATTTGGTCAATCTATCAACGATAACCCAAATAGCATTGTTACCACCTTGGGTCCTAGGCAACCCTGTCACAAAATCCATGGTAATATGTTCCCACTTCCACTCGGGAATAAGAAGAGGTTGTAACTTACCTGCAGGTCTCTGATGTTCAACTTTCACTTGTTAACATACCAAACATTGAGCGACATACTGAGCAATTTCCCTCTTCATATTATTCCACCAAAAGTTCTTCTTCAAGTCTTTATACATTTTAGTGCTCCCTGGATGTACAGTATATCCTGAACTGTGAGCTTCTCTCAGGATTTCTCTCTTGAGCTCCAAATCATTAGGCACACAAAACCTCTCTCCAAATCTCAAGGTTCCATCTTTATGCATACAAAATTCCATCTGTAGTCTTATTTCCATTTTAGCTTTAAGTTTTTGGAACTGAGGATCTCTTCCCTGAGCATATTTAATTCTATCAATCAATGTGGGTTAAACTCTAAGGTTTACCAACTACACTCCATGGTTGTGCCATCTAATCTCAATATTTACCCTTCGCAAGTCCTCCAAGATATTCTTTTGGTCAGTGATCAAGGTAGCCAAATTACTCTGGGTCTTTCTACTCAAGGCATCCGCCACTGCATTGGCTTTTCCTGGATGATAATTGATAGTCAAATCATAGTCCTTTAATAGCTCCAACCATCGCCTTTGCCTCATATTCAATTCTTTTTGAGTGAAAATATACTTCAAACTTTTATGATCAGTGAATATCTCACATTTCACCCCATACAGGTAGTGCTTCCAGATTTTTAATGCAAACACCATGGCAGCCAACTCCAAATCATGGGTAGGATAATTCTGCTCATATGGCTTCAACTGCCTAGACGCATATGCCACTACCTTATCATTCTGCATTAGGACACAACCCAAGCCCATCTTTGATGCATCGCTATAGATGGTAAAACCTTCATCTCCGGACGTAACTATAGTATTGGAGCACACACTAATCGACTCTTTAGATCCTAGAAACTCTTCTCACAATCATTAGACCACTCAAATTTAACCCCTTTTTGTGTTAAACGAGTCAAAGGCATAGAAATTCGAGAAAATCCCTCAATAAACCTTCTATAATATCCTGCTAAACTCAAGAAGCTACGAATTTCTGTGACATTAGTAGGCCTATTCCAGTCTACCACCGCCTCCACTTTCTTAGGGTCAACAGACACCCCATCTGTAGATATCACATGACCCAAAAATGATACACTCTCCAGCCAAATTCACACTTCTTTAATTTAGCAAATAATTTCTTCTCCTTTAATATCTGCAACACTATTCTCAGATGTTCTTCGTGCTGCTTTTTACTCTTCGAGTACACAAGAATGTCATCAATAAAAACTACCACAAACTGGTCTAAGAAGGTTTAAATACTCTGTTCATTAAATCCATAAAAGTTGCAGGCGCATTGGTCAACCCAAACAGCATCACTAAAAATTCATAATGCCCATACCTAGTTCGGAAGGCTGTCTTAGGTATATCTTTCGCCTTAACCTTCAACTGATGATAACCAGAATGAAGGTCAATCTTAGAAATGACTTGTGCTCCTTGCAATTGATCAAATAGGTCATTTATCCTAGGCAAAGGATATTTATTTTGAATTGTCACCTTGTTCAACTCTCGATAATCAATGCAAAGGGGAAAACTACCATCCTTCTTTTTCACAAAGAAAACGGGCGCACCCCAAGGAGAAACACTAGGCCTAATAAAGCCCTTATCTAGTAACTCTTCTAATTGTTCCTTCAACTCTTCTGGGGCCATCCGATACGGAGCCTTAGAGATAGGACCGGTGCTGGGTATCAATTCGATGGCAAACTCAATCTCTCTATCTGGTGGCAACCCCGGTAAGTCTTCAGGAAAAACATCGGAAAATTCCTTTACAACTAGAATATCCTCTAACTTCAATTTAGTTTCATAGGTATCTGTCATAGAAGCTAAATAACCCTCGCAACCATTTCTCAACAATCGTCTAGCTTGCAAAGCTGAGATTACCAAATGAGGAATGTTATCTCCACTACCCACAAAACAAAATTCTGGTTGATTAGGAATCTAAAATACTACCCTTTTGCCTCGGCAATCAACAGAAGCATAATTGGTTGCCAACCAATCCATTTCAAGAATTATGTCAAAGTCCCGCATATCTAAAACAATCAAGTCTACAAACAATCTCCTGCCATCTATACTAACTACACGGGATTTTCAAATTAAGTCAGCAACCATAACACCTTCTATTGGGGTTTCAACACATAAGTCAATCTCTCTAGAGACACATTTCCATCCATGTTTCTTAACAAATCCCACAGACACAAATGAATTTGTAGCTCCAGAATCAAATAACACATGTGCATAAACAGAAGACACTAAAATAGTACTTGTCACCACTGTGTTAGAAGTCTGAACATCTTGTTGTGTGAGTGCGTACACTCGACCCCGAGTCTTTGGCTTATGACCTCCATTTTTCTTTTGATTTCCTGAAAACACTTTGTCTGTTGAAGTTCCTTTATTTGTCCATGCTTTCTGTTCAGTCTCACGCCCCTTTTGGTTAGGGCAATCAGCTTTTCTGTGCCCCTGTTGCCTGCAAGAGAAACAAGCCCTAGTATTCCAACGACACTCACTATCCCGATGGAATCCATTATATATAGTGCACTGTACCCGATCGTTCTGCTTGTCAACACTACCAACTATAGTTTGACTTCCCCAACTCCCAACTGAAGAAGTGTTTTGTCTCTTAGCATTGCCCTTCGAACTGTTGTTAGTTTGGAAGTTAGAAGAACTAGGCCTCTTCTTATAATTCTTTTCTTTCTCTTCTTGGGCTCTAGTAAGGCCACTCTCAACCAACAATGCCTTATTCAACACTACTCCAAAAGTTGGTAACTCGAAAGGAACTACCTGTTGCATAATGTTCATTCTTAGCCCACCTTTGAACTTTCGTGCTTTGCTATCCTCGTCTGTTTCAAATGCTGATGCAAATTTAGACAACTTCGTAAACTCGGCTTCATATTTTGCAACCGTCTTATTCCCTTGCTCCAACTTCAAAAATTCCCTCTGTTTTTTGTAGGCGAACACTCCTAGGGAAGTATTTCTCATTGAATACATTCTTAAACCTTTCCCATGTATAGGGGTTGGCATCATGCTCGTGTATGTGCTTCTCCATCTGCCACCAATCATTAGCTATCCCTTGTAGCATAAATGTAGCATAGGTCACCTTCTGATCATCTGTACACTAAAAAACGGGAAACAAGTTTTCCATTTCTGTCAACCATTTTTCAGCCTCCAAAGGGTCTATGGCTCCATCAAATGCCAAGGCTATCTTCTTAAACTCAGTAATATTACAACGTGCCCTCGGTTGTGGTCCAACATCTGGCTGCATCCGTTGTTGTTGCTCCATAAGTCTAGTCAAGTTATTCCCTATAGTGGTTTGTTGTTGCACCGCCCCGGCCAAAGTTTAAAGCACTTGAACCATTCCAACTGGATTGGGGATTGCAACTTGTTCTTGTTGTCCCAACTCTGGCCCCTGATTTCCTCTAACTGCTTGAGAACCACTATCATTATTAGCCACATTTCCTCACTGATTGTGATTACCAGTCCGTCGATTTGTTTGACCCTGGCGTGTATTCCTAACCATATTTGCCAATGTCTCCTCATGTTCCATTGCAACCTATATGCATCAATAATAAAATCTCATCTTATTCTATTCTCAAGTCCCTATAACATGTAAATACAATTAACATTATACTAAATTATAAGCGTTCCCGATCCTACATTTACCCAATCTCACCACTATTCTATACCAGCCTTTAAAATTACAACCTGGCTTTGATACCACAAAATTGTCACGCCCCAAGCTCTGTGATAACGCCGCACACTCATTTAAGTGAGCATGCAAGGCTAAGAGTCCAACACATAACCAACAATGTAAAATACTCAAATTAAATCCTTATTTATCATAATGCTAAAATCTATAAAAATAGATAATTCTTATCATATGAAATTGTCCACCAAGTCCACTAATATAATCCACTAACAAAATAATAATCCAAGTACTTAAATCATAGTACTACTCTTGGCACTCCCACAAGTAAAAACCCGCGCAGCTCTACTCCTTAAAATCTGAAAAAATAAAATAAAATAAGGGTAAGCTAGACAGCTTAGTAAATAACTAACCATCACTGCTAGTTGGATCAAGTATACAAAAAAAATAAATAGTCGATAACCAATATATATAATTTTTGCTACAATTCAATAAATGAACAATTATTTGTAAGAGGGTTTCATAGCTAAAAATAAACAATGTACAATACATTTTAATTGAAAAGCCAACAAGATAATTCAAAGTAAATTTGTTATTCAAATCGATTGTTCGATACTCAGATGGTTCAATGATTTGATTCACAAAACCCAAGTCTTGGTGACTACGGTTACTTAGCCCGTGACAAGGTCCAAAACCACACATAGGCCGGTGGTAAAGCGCCAAAAGAAACTAGTTTCTGTGCCAATAAATAACCTCCATTGGCTAGGGTCCAAATCATAGTTAGACTAGAGTGATATTCAAAATTCAAACAATACACAACTTTAAATAAAATATTCGATATTTTCAGAATAAACATTTGGTACAATTTTCAGAATAATTTCACAAAATATTCAAATAATTTTCATAATAATATTCGATGTTGTTTTATACTTGACCCATATTTTATTTTAAGAGAACATGAAGGCTATAAATAAATATTTATAATTTTAAACGATTCAATAGGAATAAAAATGAACCAACAGTGATAGAGGGTTACTTGCCTCAAACGCTTAAAAAATAATAATTCAACACCAACTCCAAACACTTAGCTCCACCACTTTAATCACACAAACCTAATAATTAGAACCTCAAATAAATTAATATTTTTGTGTCTTTTGCACATCCACAAAACTCACTGTATGCATGAAAAGCTCAAGAAATTCCAAATCAATTCTCCAAATTAATAGTCAAACACACCTTATCTAATATACCAAACTCTATTGTTAAAACTACACCCACACAATAGATTACACTTTTATCATCAACCTACACAAAACACTATACACGTTGAACCATACATCCATTAGGCGTCCCCACAGGTTTTCTTTTCCATCGCCTTTAATCTGCCTATTGATCTATTTACATTTAATAAACAATGGTGTAGAAAGGTACCTTAATCAATGAGCATCAAGAATGCTCCCCTCAATTCCTACCGCTGATTCCCTCGAATCCTCTGCGCAATTGTGATAACAAAATAATATAAAACCCTTTTTCCTTCTTTTCTTTTCTTTTTTTTTAAGGGTAAAAAACCTACTTCTTAAGATTACTAAATTACCCATACAATTTATTTTAATTATTACTCTACCCAAAAATAATTCTATAAATAACTTGGGTTTTACAAGTTTCTTCTTTGCTGATAAAAAAAAAAAAAAAAAAAACAAACAAAACAAAACAAAACAATTAACCTAAATTTTATAAACCAAATATGAAAATAGTGACATGCAAGATCTTAACTTACCAAACAGAACTAACATATATATTGCAATAGTCTAAGTAAATAGAACCTAATCATATACATTTTATTTTCAATGATTTATTTTCCAGTTACGAATGTCGAAACCTGAAAACCCTCAAAACCAATTAACAACATCCAATATGAAAATTAAACGGACAAAACTATTTCTCAGAAAACTTATTTTAAGTTTGGGAGCTTTAGATCATTGAAATTTCCTCAACAAAATCGTACTAACAAATAACAAATTACATACAAAGATTAGTCTAATAAAATAATAAGCATGTGAGTGTTAAGAATAGAAAATAACTCAATAACATGGAAACGTGAAATGACATACAATGGATTGAGAGACGTGTATTCACTTTGCTAGATCAACAAATAATTTAGAAGAAAAACAA